TACCAAAGATTAAGTATGTTTCTCTTTTGGATTCCTGAAAGTTGGGATTTTTACAAATCACAATGACTTCATGAAATGTCATTAACATGTGGCCAAAAGAGCATAGGATGGAGAGCCATAGTTTCAAAGTAGAGAGCTTTGGGGTTCATCTAGGACACTGAAATTTTATTTGCAATCTGTTGAGCTTGAAAACAAAAAGCATGAAGATAAAACTGGAGGATGAACATCTCATACCATCAATATGTGGGGGATTTGAAGCTCTATGACAGTTCTAAAACCCAGCCTAAGAAAGTATGAAACATTCTGAGGAATGTTCATAAAGATATGCAAATGAACTTTGAAATGGAAAAAATGCAAATCAGTTGAGATGGCACAGGGTCAGTTTACCCATTCTCTCAGGGCATATCAGAGCTTCACAAGTTTAACTCAAAGGGAAATGTACACCTGCTGACTCTCTTCAGGTGAAAAAAGATTCCACTTGCAGCTAGTATGAAATATTTGAGTTTCGTTTGCTACTATTGTATCAGAGATGCTTCAACTAGATCGTTTAATTGTCACCCTTATGCCATTTAAGGAGCTGTTAAATTCTCTCCCTAATGAAAGAGAGATGAGAAATCCAGGACACCCCACACTTAATGGGTTGGTTTCTAAATATTATAGTTTTAGATGCAACTGGTACCTCTAAATAACTCAAAATACTGAAGAGTTTACTATACACAGCAAAATGTGTTATCTCAATTGGAATTAGGTCTATAACCAGGTAGATATGTTTTATTAGTCAGAATGGAAGACAATGGATTGGTAAATATTATAATTTGAAATTGTCTATATAAAAGAAGCCTCAACATAGGAAAAGGTGACATTAATATCAAAGGCAACGGTAATTTATAAAAAAGATAATAGTGTTTTAGAGAGTGATGAATAGCCATGAGGAGGAAGAGTTTTTAGGCCAGATTTTGCAATTTATAATTTTTTTTTAACACAGCAATGACCTTAGAGTTCTGAATGGGCTGTGTTATGGCAGGCAGTACCTTTTGCCATTAAAAAAATAAGGTCTCATATTAGTTCTTTTTTTTTTTAAGCCTTCTGTCTAGAAAAAGAAATGAATGTGTCTTTAGAAATAAAAACACAAAGAAGTTGCTACTGAGGGAAAGAGTTCAAAAGAATCACCTTTTAGGAATTATTTTTTAAGACTACATAGGTGAACTTTTTGGTTTTGGAAATTCTTAAGCATTTTGATTTCATTCTTTCTGGAGAGCCACCAATACTGGAGGTTGGACACCAAATAACAAATTAACCATCCCGTTTCATTTGTAGCCTCCAGGAGATTAGATCAGTTTGGTTACTAATGAATTTTGGTCCCCAGCACAGAACAATTACAATGGAATATGAGGACGGTTTCAAGAACATCAGGAGGATTTTACCAAATTCTATTTAATCTCCTCTCACCCTGTTTACAGGTCAGCTTATTAAAGTTTAAAATTCTTGGAAGATGGTTTCCATGGAGAGAGAAAATTATCTCTTTAGATATACTATTCTAGGGTTAATTTGATTTAACCAAATTTATTTAGAGTTTCACAAGTGAAACACAACGCTGTCTTAGGAGCTACAGGGATACTAAGATGAACATGGAAACAAATGACTGCCCTTAATTAAGTTGGCATGCAGCTCACATACGCAAAGATGTGCACAAATCCAGGATAAAATGTGGCAAGTGCTATCACTTAAGCATAAATAAGTAAGAAATTGTACTCTTCAGACAAAATCTTGTTTGCCCTTCGTAACAACCCTGTTTGAAGATATAATCATTCCCACCACCAGGCGTGGTGACTCATGTCTGTAATCCCAGCACTTTGAGAGGCCAAGGCAGGAGGATTGCCTGAGCTCAGAAGTTCAAAACCAGCCTGGCAACATGGCGAAATCCCGTCTCTAGTAAAAATAAAAAAAAATTAGTTGAATGTGGTGGTTAGTGCATGTAGTTCCAGCTACTTTGGAGGCTGAGGCAGGAGAATTGCTTGAACCAGGGAGGTGGAGGTTGCAGTGAGCCGAGATTGTGCCACTGAACTCCAGTCTGCGTGGCAGAGCAAGACTGTCTCAAAAAAAAAAAGTAAAAGATATAATTATATAATTATTCCCATTTCACAGAAAGCAAAACAGTGTCATAAAGCAGCACATCTGGTAAGTAAAGCCAGGACGTGAACCCACACTGTATACCACCCATCCCACAGTGCTTTCTTGGTGCTAGGGAGGAGCCAATAATAAAGCATTTCATGGAGAAAGTGGCATGGTAATGAACCTCGAAAGACAGATATCATCTCAAAAGGTTGGCAGACAGAGAGGACATGTCAGAGAGTCATGAGTGAAAGAGGAAATTTAAGCTTTGAGGGCAGGACAGATGAGGCTTCCAGCGGGAGAGCAGAGATTGGGAAGAACATCTAAAAGTGAGTTCTCTGGAACACTCCATGAGGGATGGGAGCAGGAGAGAGGAGGAAGTGCAGGCTAGCTAAGGAGACAAGGAAAGAGCAGTCCAGCCAATGCGAGGTCATCTTGGACAGCGAGGTGGCCCAGAAACCAAGGTTCAACAGTGCAGAAAATCAAAGGGGGCCCCACTGTAGTTTGTTTCAAAGAGAAAGATACACAGGGATTAAGAGGACCCCAACAGTTTTCTTGATCTGAGGGGTAATGGTGACTATAGAAAGAATAGTTTCATTATTAGAGTGGAGATAAGGCATAGAGTGTGGGAAAAAATTGCAGCGGACAACGGACGAAGTAAAGGGAGAAGCGGAAGACATGAAAGTTAATCACTGTTTTAAGAAGGTTAGTAGCGGAGGAAAGAGAGAATACACTTTTATCACTTTCGTGCACTCAAAAGCTCAGGTAGTATCCTCATTTTAAAGAGCCTTTGGTAACATCTGATATGGAGCAGGCCCCTAAGGTGGCTCTATGACAGAGCTTTTGTTCTGAGGATGCCAGAGTGAGTGAGTTTGGAGACGGCAGGTGAAACTTGCTTTTGTTAGTGACTGAATTCACTAACAAAATGGGTGGGGAAGAGTTAGGTTGCTTAGCTGTCTCCTGGGTTCTTTCTGGTTGACTGGAAATGCTTTCATGGCCCATCTTCCTGTCTAACTTAAGATGTTCATAGACGTTTTAAAAATAGGGTGGGGCTGGGTAGGGTGGCTCACACCTGTAATCCCAGTACTTTGGGAGGCTCAGGCGGGCAGATCAAAAGGTCAACAGATTGAGACCATCCTGGCGAAACCCCATCTCTACTAAAAATACAAAAATTAACTGGGCATGGTAGCTTGCGCCTCTAGTCCTAGCTGCTCCGGAGGCTGATGCTGGAGAATCGCTTGAACCCGGGAGGCAGAGGTTGCAGTGAGCATAGATTGCACCGCTGCACTCGACTCTGTCTAAAAAAAAAAAAAAAAAATAGGGTGGAGTCTGGAGGTAGAAGACAAACCTGTATAAAGTCAAAGTAAGGAGAAAGAGAAAATAAAGAAAAGGAATAAAGAGAAACGGAGCCAGTGATTATTTGCTGTCACAACCCTTTCGGTTTCAGTTTTCCAGCAATATTTTTCTTTTTTTTTTCTCCTCTTTTCATTATTAAATGCCTTAAGAAATGAGTATGCTGCATTGACAGAGTTACGATGACTTACATGAGAAGAGCTTCTGAGAAGTGAGTTCTTGGAAGCACTGTGGTGGTGGCCAAGTATTTGCTTCTAAGATTTTATTTGACATCTATAAGGAGAAATATGCACAAACATTTTTTTGGTGCTGGAAGTCGGAAAAATAACAAGAATTTAATGAGTAATAGGAAATGTAAGGGGAACCATTAAATATAACTATAATTACATGGACCCCACTTAATCTGCATGTTTTTAGTTAGATTTGGGTGTATTCTGTGTCTGTTAAGGCAGGTGGGCAAGTTGGTTCATTTGGCTGGAATCGTGGGGCAATTAGGTCAGCATTAGAGGCTTGGTAATTCTGCAGTCTATTTAGTTTCAACCTGCTCCATGACCCCAGGACACTTTCAACCTCACCATTACCCCGACTTTTGTCTGTGAGTTCAGGGAGGCACCAATCAGAGAATGTGGATGGCTTTCTAGCACATCGGTCTCCACCAGGAGAACGCTATGGTCAGATAAGTAGGATTCCTCTTTACATAAACACAATGGCCTGGTTCACTGTTGGAAAGATTAGAAACTGCTGTGAGATGTGCAATAATTAATGACTACTGAATGCTTGTTCTTGAATTTGCTTTATAAAAAGTGGGATCTGGGAACCTTATTAATTACCTAGCTTTGTAAGAATACTTGTTCTATAACTGTGTTAGTATAGTTAGTTAATCAGTGACTCATAGTGTACTGGTAGCTGACAGATCTAGACTTAACACATAGAAGGTCTTACTAAGCATGGTTTGGTGAGCTGGCTACTTTGATTCTAGGATAGTTTATGTTTAATTATTATGCCACACCTTGGGCTTATGCTATCTCTTGATGTAATGGAAATAAAATAGATTACATTTTACACTACAAAGTTTATTTAAAAAAAAATTTAAGCTTGTCACTCAAGAGTAAACATCTGTATCCAATGCAGGAAAGATTGCAGGTTTTCTGAGGACTGAGAACACTAAGGTGAGCTCTCTATAAGAAAAAGATAAATGGGCTGGGCGCGGTGGCTCACGCCTGTAATCCCAGCACTTTGGGAGGCTGAGGTGGGCAGATCATGAGGTCAAGAGATCAAGACCATGTTGAAACTCTGTCTCTACTAAAAAATACAAAAATTAGCTGGGCCTGGTGGCGCGCCTGTAGTCCCCGCTACTTGGGAGGCTGAGAAAGAGAATTGCTTGAACCCAGGAGAAGGAGGTTGCAGTGAGCCGAGATCACACCACTGCACTCCAGCCTGGTGCCTGGCGACACAGAGAGACTCTGTCTCAAAAAAAAAAAAAAAAAAAAAAAAAAAACAAAAAAAGAAAGAAAGAAAAGAAGAAGACAAATATACAATATAAGATTAGGTATGAAGTGGTTTTTCCTGTAAGGTGATGGAATTTTCAAAAAGTATTAATAGTTGAGAAAATATTTTCCCATTTTATTATTCTCTATTGATAATAACATATACACTTTTTGAATTGTGGTTAAACTTGAGAAGGCATCTTTAGGCTTCTTTCCAGATGAACTGCAAGATTTTAGAGCATCTCAAAATTTCTGGTGCAGGGACTAATCTTAAATACTTGGAAATTGGCTGTCTTCATTAACTAGCCTGTTACCATAGCTTTCTCACTTTTGCTAATTAAAAAAATATGACCATATGAACACATTGCTAGGACCCCATCCAAGTCCTTAAAAGGGGCCTGGTGGGGGAAGGATCTTGAAGCTTAAGCTCCATTGTTTCATGGTAAATTTATCTCTGATCTGACAGCGTCATAATCTTTCACTGAATCCGTCCAAACAGTATTATACTCAATAGTCCACCAAAACAGCATAACCTTTCATGCTGAGATACAGTAAGTCAGTTGAGGAAGAATTCAGGATTTTAGTCACCGTATCAAGTTTTTTTTTTTAATAAGGCACAGCTCAGTTCTTATCTCTTGGTTTGACTGTCATACAATGGCTTATTGTAACAATGTTATGTTAATATCTTTGTGTCTCTTACAAGCTTTAATTTATTCCCATAGCATGAAAAGAGACTAAATTCTCACGTAAGAACATGAAAATATTTTTAAAGATGTTATCTCTTATGGTATGTCTTTTAACTAATCTAGTTCACGGACTAGATTAGTTGTAGGCATCTAAAATAATAAGTAATCTCAACAGATAGTATATAGTTAGAAATATCATATATCTAAATAATTATCTTGTAAAGAAAACCCTTAACATTCTTAAAATGTTGTTATTTCTAAGCCTAAAGTAAAATGCAGCTTGTTACTTAAGAAAGATTTCGGAAGAGATATAAAGATCCCATTGCACTTTACATGGCTTTGAAAATGTATCAGGATCCGTTGTACTGCATGAAACATACTTAGTTTCATTAGAGATGCTTGGGCCTCTCACTTTGTCTGCCTCCTGCCCCTCTATGTACACAAATTCAGCAACCTAATCATGTTGCCTTTGATCAAATTTAATTTGTATTTTTCCCCAGTAATGCTGTCTGGTGGCAGTTAAATAGAATTTAATTAAAATAAATATTCACAGGCTTTAATAGAGCTTAATGATCTGATTTGACTTAGTAAAATGAGGCAGAAAGTCTAGACGCTGTAAGATATACCTACATTACTTGACTTGGTTAAAGGTTTAGTAAAACAGAGGCCAGCATTTACAAAAAGGGAGAAATGGGGAAATCCAATGATAAAAGCTATCTGAACATTTAGTTAGAACTACGCATGCACAAAAACGTCCTACTGAATTTGTATCCACAATAAAAATTGGGTTGTTTCTTGTTTTTCTATTTTATTACAACCATAAAATTAAGGTTTGAATAACTAGGCAATCCACTTGTTAAATGGCAATTTGCATTGACAAGCTGTTTTCCCAAATTTCATTTCTGGATCAGTACTTCTCAGCCTTTAATGTGGGCATGAATAACCCAGGGGTGGTGTGAAAATACAGATTCAGATTCAGCAGGTCTGGGGCAAAGCCTGAGATACTGTATTCTGACAAGCTCCTTGCTGGTGTGAGGACTGCCCCTTGAGTAGCAAGGCCCTACACAGTGAAGTGAAGAGAGCTGATTTGGGACAGTTGCCACCTCCATGATAACCATAATTTTATGGATAATAATATGTAAATGATACCACCTCTCACATATGCAGTTGTTTCATATATTTCCATCATCTCATTTTGGTCCTCACAGTATATAACGTCACATGCTTTGTCGCAACCTGAGTGCCACTGCTTGTAAAGCCTGGTACATAAGAATATTAGATTTCAGAGTGTTAGCTCACATAGTCCAGCATGTGCAAAGCATAGCTAGGTTTATCTTTCCGAAGAGTATTCACAAAATCTTGTTACTTCCTCACTCAAGATCCATCCAGTGGAGCATCTCCTCTGCTCACCAACCCCATAAATCATCATTCCTATTCTCCATCTGTTCTCCAAGGCTGATCATCTCACTGCCCTCCACACAGGCTGGATTTATTTCTGAATCCAAATTCTGCACATGCAGTTGCCTGACCAAGAAGGCTCCCACTTATATCTCCTGCTCTTCATGAAATCTTGTAAAATCCTTTCTGCACACACAGGCTCTGAGTGGCCCTATTCCTTGTCATCTGACACAGCCGAACAGATAAAGACATTCTAGAAGTACTGGAATTCTTCTGATGTATGCTGGGAGATGTTTTTTAGCTTCCTTATGTGCTGCATTTTAAAACACTCTAAGATTCGTGTCCATTAACTCCCAAGGCATGCTCTTTTAGGTATTTATCAAGTACATTTCTATAGTTGAAGTTCTGAGGTATGACAAGGGAGCCCAGCCTTAGCGCACCAGTCCAGATGTAACATCATAAGTTATAAACAGCCTTCATTTACTGAATTTGGACTTAAAAGCCACAAAATGAATAGGTAATTAATGTGGAAAGTGGAAAATTTTGATTTAGAGAGAAGGAGCTGGTAAACAATTAAACACTAACTTAAAGGAATTTTCACATTAATGAACAATCGGTACCTCTATGGAGTTATTTAGTCACTTGGGAATTTTTTTTTTCTGTGAGACAAAGTCTCGCTCTTGTCATCCAGGCTAGAGTGCAATGGCGTGATCTCGGCTCACTGCAATTCCGACTCCCAGGTTCAAGCAATTCTGCCTCAGCTTCTGCAGCAGCTGGTATTATAGGCACTTGTCACCATGCCCAGCTAATTTTTGTATTTTTAGTAAAGACAGGGTTTCACCATGTTGGCCAGGCTGGTCTCAAAGTCCTGACCTCAGGCGATCCGCCTGCCTCAGCCTCCCAAAGTGTTGGGATTACAGACGTGAGCCACCTCACCCAGCTGGGAAATGTTTTATATAATAGTCTCACTTGTAGGATATTTCTTAGAAAGAGAGTCACATGATACATTTTTATCACTCTGACTTGCTACTTAAGAGATCTGGCACATACAGCAAGGCGCTAAATATGCCACAAGGGTATAATCGGAAAATGTGGTTAACCTGATGCAGGGGTCTGAGTGGAACTTTGAACAAGGCTAGGATAGGCCTGTTGAGCCCTTGGCCAGCAGGATTTATTTGGTGGTGGTTTTCTAACAGACACTCGGAAGGGATTCTTGGAGGTAATGCAAAAATCTCAAGACTTACTGAATGACTTTGTGGTAGAAAAAACATGGAAAAAATGCAATTTGGATACAGATAACAAACTTGATTATGAAAAAATAAAAACCCAGATACTCCTTATGATTTTGAAATGATACACTTTAGGGGGCTGTAAGAGGTCCAGTAAATTATCCTTTGACATCCAGACCATAAGATTTTGTCTTCTAACTACCCAAAGCACTTGGGTCAGTGTACATTTCAGTGCACTGATGCATCCACTTGCCTGTGTGAACTCATTAAGGTCAGGAGGATGTTGTATTCTTCTAGGCAAAAAGAGGGCAGCATACTCTACATACAATGTTGGGTAAAAATCCCACTATTCCACCTCATAGCAATGCAGCTTTAAACATGTGTTCAAACCTGTCTGAGCCTCAGTTTATCTATCTGTAAAATGGTGATAATAATAGTACTCACCTCAAAGCATTGTTGTAAGGATTACATGAGTAATGAAAGTTGGATTGAGGGGGAAAGAGGCAGAGCATGAAGTACTAATTTAAAGGAATGTTCAGGTAACGCCTATGAGATTAAATACTTACTAATGGTTAACACTTCTATGCAGTGCTATCTAACAGGGCTTCACTCTAATGATGCAAAGGCAGAAGAATGATACAGTGGATTCCGGGGACTTGAGGGCAAGGTTGAGGGGGTGAGAGATAAAAGACTACATATTGGATGCAGTATACACTGGTTAGGGGATGTCTGGGGAGCACTAAAATCTCAGAAATTACCACTAAAGAACTTATCCATGTAACCAAAACCACCTGGATCCCAAAAACTATTGAAATAAATACTGCCAAGCAAATCGAAAGCATTCTATAAATGTTAATTATAGAAAGTGTTCTGTAAGTGTTAATTATTATAGTAATCATGATTACTGGTATGGAGTTAAGAAAAAGGCAAGGGCTGCATCTTTAGAAATGATTTAATTCATGTCAAGTGCTTAACACAGTGCCTGTGTATATGTGTGCCTCATAAATGCTAGTTGTTATCAGAGTTCCTGTTATCCTAGTGCCCATCCTTACCTCACTTCTGGAGTACCCATCATATTCAATATTCCAAAAGATAAATGCAGTTCTGTTTATTGGATATTTATCTAAGGCAACTATTAACCCATTGGAATGGTGATTTTTCTGAGAGATTCTTCTTTTTTAAACCATTGATAACTGTATTTCTGCTACTGAGACTTCTGTTCAGAGCCAATATTTCTTCCATTTATAACAACTTGGGAAATTCCAATATTTTCGATTTTTCCAGTGGATAGTCTCAACTTATTAGTTAGCTCTGTAATATCATCTATGAGGCTGACCCATATTAGATCTTTGTTATGGTCTGTGGTTTGCAATAATTGTCATTCTCAGTTCCCTAAGTACTATATAGGAGAAAAGACAGTAGAATGTTAACTCAGAACAGGGGTCTTTGGAGGTTACTCTCTCCAGCATTTTGATTTTATAGATAAGGAGACGTGACTTGTCCAGTGTCACCTAGCAGATCAGAGGCAAATCCAGGACAACATTCTTAAAGGTCACATATTGACAGTCTGTTAAATATGCACATGTGAGTATATCCATTAATTTCAGCTTGTTTTAAGAATAAAAATCAAAGTTATATAAGGTTCCTGAATAAATATCATAGCAGAAGGGAGACCATGTGATAGAACCTTCAAAAAAATCTAATATATTGTCTGGTTGCTTCCTGAATTGTGCAGGTTTCATTTCTGAATATGGCCTCAAATAAATTGAAAAGGACATCCCTTTAATCCTTGTCAAGTGCAAGATCTGTGTCATAAATGCTTTCAATAATGAGGGGGGACAGGACAAAATTTTAAGGAAAAGAATTTATACAAAAGATTGAATCAGTGCTTTTTCTGGATAAGCAAAGCAATGTGTGTGTTAATTCTACTCTCCTCCTCCCCTTCGTGAAGGGGGTTGGGGGTGGGAGCATTAGCAAGAAAGGAGGGGCCTAATTTATGGCGAGAGTGAGAACTCTTTTCAAGCCTGTGGGCAGAAAGCACTGCCGCACCTCCCTCCCTGCTGGAACCTGCTCTCTGAGATCTGGGACTCCTCGGGGTCTCTGTTTGCCTAATTGCAACTTGTGCTTATGCCCTCCAGTTCTCACTGGCTCCTTTGATGCTTTTCAGCAAGTCCTCTCAAAGCAGCGGGACAAAATGGGAAGGTAAGCAATCCTTTCACATAAAAGAGGGCAGCAAAACCCAGGTGGGGGCTCCTGCTGAGATGCTCCCTTCCAAGGCTCTGACCACACAGTCTGAGCAAACACTGTGACTAGTGGCAGCAAATGAAATTTACAGCCCTCTTAACCTGCAAGCCACAGCCAGCGTCCCACTCCACTCTCCAAAATAAATTCAACATGGCTATTTTTTAAAAAATATCTTTTCCGGCCGGGCGCGGTGGCTCAAGCCTGTAATCCCAACACTTTGGGAGGCCGAGGCAGGTGGATCACGAGGTCGAGATATTGAGACCATCCTGGTCAACATGGTGAAACCCCGTCTCTACTAAAAATACCAAAAATTAGCTGGGCATGGTGGCGCGTGCCTGTAATCCCAGCTACTCAGGAGGCTGAGGCAGGAGAATTGCCTGAACCCAGGAGGCGGAGGTTGCGGTGAGCTGAGATCATGCCATTGCACTCCAGCCTGGGTAACAAGAGTGAAATTCCGTCTCAAAAAAAAAAAAAATATATATTTTCGAGGTTTTTCATTTGAGTATCTAAGGACTGAATTAGATGGTCTCCATCTCTACTAACTACATCCCATTCTGGAGATTTAAAAAAAATATTTTTTGCTTTGTTTATGTGTTCATCTCATGCTTGTCAGTTCACCAGTTCCCAGTTTTTATTCTGTTATACAACAAGGGAGCCTAACAAAGGATCACAATAGGAAAAATAACTTGCCCCACGTGGTTAAAATGAAGAGAATTTAATTAAAGGAGTAGTTACAAAGTGTGGGCAGCATTGAGGAACTGACACAAGATGTTGAGCCACTCCAAGATTAGCAACTGGTGGAAGCTGTTACTACCCAGTAGGCCTAAAGGGGCAATGAGAAGATAATGTTAATGGAAGCCAGTGAGCTCTAGAGCCATGGAGGAAGGGCATCCTGCAGCGCTCTTGTTCTCAACGTTGTCTGCTCATTGGAATATCAGGGAAATGTACTAACAGCTGGGTTCCACCTCCTAGAGATTTTGACGTAATTGACTTTTTTGTGGTCATCAAGACACAGTCATAGAAAGACATAGTCACTGACTAAGAGACAGCAGCAAAGCTAGGAGTAAACAGGAAAGAAATACCCTGACCTCCCTCTCCTATGCTCTGATATCCTGTTGATGCCTCCAACTATAAGCCAGACTAGGAGGGAGCTGGTACAGTGCACTCTGCATGGATCAACCTCCTGTAGTCTGTGTGGTAGGGAAAATAGGTAAATAACCTGTGCAGAGCTCACAATAAAACCCTACAAACAGCCTCTGTCCCTGCCACACACAATCCCAGGAATTAGAAGTGAGGGCAGACTCTCACTTTCTCATTAAGGTGGCTTACTCATGCTTTCTTGGTATTGAGCGGGGCACCTTTATGTAGAAGTACCTCCCGAAGGGCTAACCCCATCTGGCATCTCTTGACAATGTTTCTTCTTTAAAACAAAAACAAAAACAAAAACAAAAACGGAGTCTCTCTCTGTTGCCCAGGCTGAAGTGTAGTGGCATGATCTCGACTCACTGCAACCTCTGTCTCCTGGGTTCAAGCAATTCTCCTGCCTCAGCCTCTTGAGTAGCAGGGATTAGAGATGTGCCACCATGCCCAGCTAATTTTTGTATTTTTAATAGAGACAGTTTCACCATGCTGATCAGGCTGGTCTCAAACTCTCGACCTCGTGATCTTCCCTCCTCAGCCTTCTGAAATGCTGGGATTACAGGCATGAGCCACTGTGCCCAGCAACATTTCTTCTTAATATCAGTGGCTCTCCTGCTGCTGGCCTAGCAAGACCCCAAGGTCCACTGGGATGTACATACTCATGGTATTATAATCTGCAGTGTTTGTGGGGGCCGTGGAATGCGGACTTCCAAAGTGAAATAGGACATTAGAGGTCATAGAGATTTTTTTTTTTCCTTAATGGAGAGGATTAAGACCAAAGCAATGAGTTTCACCTAAGCTGGCCCTTGCCTTTTGTCTAACAGGCAATGCCATCTTCTGAATGGGCACAGAATTGTCAGAGAAGAGAGCAGAGGTTGAGTTGGCATACCTACTGTAGTAAGGGATTTTGAGCAAAGAGCTGTATGTTCCTGTATGGGAGCCTAGCTTTTGGTTAAATAATAATACAAAAATGCGGATGTGGATGCCAGGCTTTCCTCCTTTCCCACAGAAGTTGGGTAGTGACTACACATTTAGGTTCACCTTGCTTGAAGCCACACTGTAGTTTCTAATAAGGTTATTATTAGTATTCAGTAGCCATTCTCCAAGGGTTGGCTTCAAATGAGATCAGTAAAGCAGAAGCAAACCGCCCACGGGTTCTTTCCCAATTTCTTTCACCCTAAGCCTCTCATTTCACCAGACATCTGTAGGAAGAAAAGCGAGATCCCTGAAGGGCAGCAACTTTTCATAAGTGACACTTGCAGTTTTGCCAATGTACATATCTGAGGGCTCATTGCACAAGCAGTGCTTATATCTGGGCACATTTCACATGGTAGATTTCTTGTCCTTTCTGATTTTCTCGCCAATCACACGGATACAGGCCACTTACAATGTCTCTGTAAAGCTTCAAGGGGTAAAGGAGGGCAGGGGGGAGGAATAAAGGAATGATTCTTACAGGTGTTATACCAAATGCCTCTAGTTGAATAACTTAAAAACGTGTTACAAATACAGTTTGACCAACTATAACAATGTAAAAGCATATTCAACAGGAAGTGAAGGTCTAGGGGTATGGATAGAGATTTCTAGAAAATTACAGTTAGATAAACGTGAGTTTCCAAATCGGAAAGAAGAAAAAAGGCATGTCTGGCTCAATATATAACATTAATATCATGCGTGGAGATTCTATTAATAACATTTGTCAGCCACTGTTGTGGAAGCTTTACATCCATTTTATCCCCACATCAATCCTGTTAAAGGGGAACTATTATTATCTTAATATAATGGATGCAAAAACAAAGGCTCTAAGAGCTTAAGAAACTTGTCCAAAATCATGTAGCTATAAAGTGGCCAAGCCAGGATTCAGACCTCAGTTAACCCACTTACAAACTCTAAACTCACTTCTCCATTGTTAAACTTGATTAGAATATTGGTTTAAAATGAAGTTTGCCACATTCTTCCCTCAGATCCGTCTTTTTAATAAGTTGCTAGGTGATTTTTATGGTCAGGAGATACTACATGATGTGAGCTACTTCCTGAGTGTAGATGATTTCTTTCTTTCCCTTTAGGCTTCCGTTTTCTAAAATGTGGATGAGAACACTCTTCTGTGTTCTGCAAAAGGTTCAATTTTAAAATTTACATAGAAATTATATTTACATGTTTTATAAACATATAGTTTTATAAATAATAACATGTCCTTTTCTTGCTGATGAAGACATGATTATCAGTATGTAAAATGCTATGAGAAGTCCTAGAGTAAAGATATTTTTGTCTGGAGAATCTGACTTTTGTCTTTCTCTGAAGAGAGAGCGATCTGACTTCTGTCTTTTACCAAATAATACCTATTTGTGTATCCTTCAGTTGTGCCTTTTGGAGAGGGCAGTCTCTCCATGTCACTGCATGCAGTTACAAGTCCTATGATAGCTTTATGTGGTTTATAAATCAGTTAATTCTTTTAAACTGTAAAACTTTAAGATTTTTGTTTTCATTCATTTTGAACATATAGGCTAATAATATCTTCTGAAGCCAGACTAAGCTATTAAATTTTGCTTTCTATGAAAACATAATGTTAGTTGTTAGCTAACTGATACTAGGAGAACAAATTTCTTTTCCCTATAGGGAAATAGTGAGTGTTGAACCCGGGAGCGTTGTCTTCAAATAAAAAGACTTGTAAACACTTGTAGGCCAGCTCCATGAGAATATGTCAGCTGGAGGAATCTTCGTGTTTCTAAAGATAACTGAGAAAGCAATGGCTCTGAAGGTGACCTTCTTCAGCTAATGGATGTTTAGATCTAGAATCCCAGTTTGCTTTTGAAAAACAATAATATGTTAAGAAGGTTTCTAGACCTGTGCTATCAGTGTCCATTTAAGTCCCATAAGTTCCCTATGAGAATGTTAAATCACAAGGGCTTAGATTATATAGGAGTTAAGTGATGCTTTCATTTGATGTTGAATTTCACGGTAACTCCAGAGCCACAAAATATAAGAGCTTCCAAGCTTGACAAATTGCTCCTGTATACCTAGGCACCAGTGGCTGAGAGCTACAGTGCTGCTCCGGGGCTTGTTTGGTTTGTGTCCATTCTTGTCCTTCCCCTACTATGCTTTGTATCACAGGGCGCATACGTCCCACAGGCTGCATTTCCCGGCTTCCCCTGTCTGATGGCTAACGGTTGGGTCAATGGGAGGCATTGTCAGGAGATTAGAGGGCAGAAGGAAGGAGAAGCGAGGGAATTTCTGCCGTGGCAGCATCTCTGCCTCTATGATGCTGTCTCCTTCCAGAGAAGCCTACCAAGGTTCCAGCTTACTCCATGTAACCCCGGTCCCTGTGCTTTGGTAACGCTACCTCTTCTCTGTGGCCTTTGTGGTTTCCTGCCTTTGGTAATCCCTAGATTGCCTCATTCTTACTTATTTGGCTTTTTTTTTTTTGCTCTTCTATTACCTATAAACCAACTCCCTATGTTAAATTCCCTTGACTTAAGTTACTTAATGGTTTGTGTTCTCCTGGTTGAACCCGGATTAATGAAATTTCCGTTTAAATACCAAAAGTTTCCTGGAGTTCGTTATTCTTGTTGAATAACAAACACAACCAACTCCATACATTGATGGCTTTTCAGAATTTATGGTCTCCACAATATTTGTTTCAAATCCTCTTGTAATAATCACTATTTTAAAACGTAATTACTACTACTGATGATGATAATAAATGTACCCTAAAATGTATTCTATACCAAATTTGGATTTGCATCTGGGTGCCATATGCTCTTAGTTCAACTCTTTCTTTAATGCTCACCTGCAATAAAGCTTCTTTTGCCAATCCTCCTTCA